GTTTATAAAAAAATAGTATTATCATTATGTACACCTGTCTTTATTTCAGATATAAAGTGAACGCTGGACGATTCTCAGTGGTCATCTAGAACACACGGCATGTGTGTAAAACACACACTGAGAAGTGATTGTCTAGCTTTAGATAATGGAACCAATAATATAGTCTAGTTGTCTTAATCGTCTATGCAAGGCTTCTGATTCATTCTGATTCACTAAGGGATTGTTCGAATCTCGCTTATGAGGATACTTTTTTTTTGCTGTTTTTTCTTATCCGTTTTGACTGTTAATCATATAACATATATTTTGGAAGACGGTGATCACGATTTTGAAATTATTTTTCATTTGATGTAGTAGTTTGTGAAAAAAATAGAAAATAATAAAACAGTTTAACACACTTAGTTTTTTTACACATTGAGATTGGTCACTGAGAAACACACACTTCTGTTGACTCCTATGTCTTCTCGAGCCAGTAAGTGACCATAATGGTCCCTTGTTCAGATGACTTATGAATGTGCAAGTAGTATTCGTGGACCTCTATTTTTTTTTAAAATATAAAAGTTGTTATTTTACGAGTATTTATTGATTAGTTAATCGGGCAATATTTTACATTGTTTCTCAGTGTTATATGGTTCACAAGGAATGTCAGCTTCCATTCCTATCTCAAATAAGTTGATATAACAATATAGAAAGATTAAGCACTTATGACCTAATGATATCCGCACAGCATAATGGAAGATTACGAGTTCAATCCTGTTTTTTTTCTTTTGCTCATGCACTTCGAATGAAGTACATGAGCTATACTGCGTCAATATTCCGTAAAAATGGAAATCGGGCTTTTTTCTGGCTGGTATTCGGCTTGAGAATTTCGTTGCTCTTACGAACCTCTTACAAAAATCTTATCGGATTCTTATAAGACACTTACGACTTTCGATAGGAATTCTGAAACAATCTTATATAAGAAACTGGTAAAAACTCATACAAGAATGATATAACAAATTGATAAGAGACTTATAAGGTTCCTTATATAAGAATCGGTCTCTAGAGCGGAGTATGTTGTGAGAATGAATTGCTAAATAATGTACAGTCGAATCCACGATCTGGGATAGGTATCGAAAGGTGATAGATTATCTCATTTGAGATGTCGTATTTTCACTCACTCAATACATCTTACGATGCCCTTCAGATGTTGCCATCATGTTCTGGAAGTCTTTAAACTTAATTTTTGCGCTTTAAAGTATTTTATTGACAATCCATGTGTCAGCAGATGTGCAGGCATCTGCGTTTTTCCACTCAAACTATTTCTTTTGTTGAAAGATCCACTTCCTACTGTCATGTTCTCTTGTGATATTTAAGGCACAATCGACATAGTCCCTAATACACTGGAGCGGTGAGAGACCTCGTCAGGAAGAACGAGTATGTAATTATTATCTATCGATTAGTTTAGTAACATAGCATAAAACAAAGTCACGTGAAATTAGTCAACAGATATATATAATATCATTCGTTCTAACTAAGAAACAGAGAAGAGTGTAGCTTGTCTATCGTGTGAAACAAAATTCATAAAATAATCCAAGTGTGTATCATAATCTCAGGTATCTGCAGCAAAATCATTGAGCTGATCGGATGAAATTTAAGCAGAAGAATAAAACTCTTATTCAACCTCACAGAAAATCGCATGAATCTCAATTCCGCGATGTCTATAATTCTCAAATAAAAATATTTGTGCAGAAAAACACTTATTAGCCCAGAACTGTGGTTTGATGCTGTGAGAACATTCTTTTTGCTTTAAACGATATTCTGCAATGTATTTACCACAGTATGGACCAAAACACGCTTCTATGTGTTAAAGAAGAATAAAGTACGACTTTGAAGATTCATGTGCAAAAGTGCGTATGTTTGTTATTCAGTTCTTGTTTTATCAGTGTGTTTTGATTTGAGAAACTCAGTTGTAAAGGTAAATTTAAAGAGAAAAAGTGGTCGCTTTCATAATATTATCTCATTTCTTATACGTGGAAAGAAAACACTTGTTGTTACCGAGATCATTAGCTTGAATAATAATATCCATAACTGCATAAAAAAGAACATATTGGTGCTAAAATCAAACTAGCAAGCAATTGATTTTCACTATTGTTTAGAAAGCTGAGGTAAGGTTCTTTTCTTCAACTCATATCGGTATAATTGCTGCATTGTCAGAAGAGCACAGTCGTCACGCGGTGAATAATCTGCAATCACTGATCTGCAAAGCTGGTTTCAGCCGCTATTATAAGATCATATAAATGCTTCAACTGAAACTTGACTGTTACTTACTTTTTCCTAAGGAAAAATAACTAGGAACTATAAACCTGCTTTTACTATTTTCATCTATAATTTACACTTTTGTTCGAAAGTAAATCGGTTTATCCAGAAAAGAATCTTATGATGTTCGCTTTTGTAGTGCGCTTCATTAGTCTTTCACCTAAGCCTTCTTGAATCGTGCGCCACAGCTTAATCGCCTCTCGGGAAAAGATGCGAAAAAAGCTTGTCGGGCAATTTTACACTTCTTTTTCAGCTCTTAGTACTTTTCATCATGTTTTGCAAGTTTTCATCTCAAATCTACACTTTGGAAGTAACTTTTAACATTGAAATCTCTCGAAACGAAGAAACTCTCGTTTTAGAAGTGTTTCACGATTAGATGTTTCACGGGAAGATCAGCTGTGAAAGCAGTACGGGAGAAACACTTGAACTCTGAAAAACTGAAAAGTACTTTTATCGGGAAGCAAAAGACGTTGTCGCACAAGACTCTATACCCTTCATACTTACCCTCATAAGCCAAACCATGACTGTTTTCTTCCAAAATTACTATCTGTTCCAAAACACGGTGGTTACGGGTATTTTGTGAATTTCTCTGTACAAAGATGAGATAGCGAGCTGCGGTTTCAGTTTTCAAAACTAGTCACCTGACTACATATTTCTGCTGTATAGAATGGTTATATCTCGGAAAGAAACGAAATGCAAATATTGCTGAGATACCATTTTGAACAGCTCTATCCAAAGGTGTAGCCCAGCGAAAAAAATTAAAAAACAGTTCTTTTTTGGGAAACACGCTAATTTTCTCAGTTTCGAAATACTATATATTTTAAGGACAGCACATGGGAAAATTTGTATTCTTTACATAGGTTTACGTGCCCCGCTGTCCTCTTTCGCATGGCGAAAAGCGCAGGTCTCTAGCTATCTCCTATCAAAAGTTATAAGCATTTTGCCCACGCCTGTCGTTTTTTGAGAAAGATAATAGTTCATTAGGGGATACAAAAAAAAGCAGAGGCATGCAGATGCTTAGTCGACGCGACCACAAATGAAGATTGTCCTAAAACGGTTGTTATTCTTCAACAAAAATAATTTTCCACTTATATTATACTTTATTCTAATAACATCATTATAAAGTCTCTCAGCAACATTCTCTTTCTTCTTTCAGCTATTTTATATCTTGATCAACCATGAGTTCTTCGACCGGCGCCAACTTAACCCAGGTCTCTATAAACACAAAAACAGATTCTCATCAGCAAGATAGAAGAGTTCATCAACAGAGAAGCTTAGAATGTTTCGAGATTATATGGCTCGATGCGCATATTGATAAGAAAACAAATGACAATTCAAACACAATAACTCAATTACGGCGTGTGGTTAATAACAATTTGAAAACATTTGATAATCCTGATCAATGCTCTACTTACATATCATCGATCCAAAACCAGAAAATCTTTCTAATTGTAAGTGGTTCATTTGGTGAAATTGTCGTTCCTCAAGTTCATGCATTAACACAAATTGAACTAATTTATGTATTTTGCTTTGATAAAGCGAAACATGAAAAATGGACAAATAAATACAAGAAAATAGTTGGTGCATTTTCTGATATCGATTCAATTTGTGATAAATTAGGTGTAGATGTGAATTCATGTACGAATGACTTAATGCCATTTAGTGCTATCAGTTCAGCAGAGGAAATAAATAAACAAGATCCATCATTTATGTGGTTTCAACTTTTACTCGATATATTGTTGAACATGAAACATACAGATGGCACAAAACAAGAAATGATCGATCTGTGTCAAGAACGATATAAAGACAATGAAGAACAATTAAAATATGTTCGAGAATTCAAAACATATGCCCCTGATAAAGCAATCTGGTGGTATACATGTAACTGCTTTTTATATGGAATGTTGAATAATGCACTACGAACATTAGACATCGGTACTCTATTCAAACTAAGATTTTTCATAACTGATCTTCATGATCAATTAAAGCAATTCCATTCAGAATTTATTCATTCAACATCTATAAAAGCAATGACTGTTTATAGAGGACAAGGTATGTCTCTTGAAGAACTGAAGAAATTTACAACAGGCGGTCTGCTATCAATGAATTATTTTATGTCGACAAGTACAGAAAAGATGCAAGCACTTGAATTTGTTGACCAGGCGATATCAAAAAGTCCTTCCAATCAGGGAATTCTGTTTGAAATGAAGGTTGATGTTAAAACCTGTCATAAACCATTTCATAATATTCAACATCTGAGCTTTTATCCAAGTGAAAACGAAGTTCTCTTTTCAATGGGTACAGTATTTCGCATTCACTCAATTCAACAAACAGGTAGTAGAAGTTGGAGTATTGATCTAAAACTAGTTGCCGAAGGTGATCAGCAACTGCAAACCTTGATGAATCATATGAGAAAGGATATAGGAGAAGGAAGTGATTTATTTGCATTAGGGGATTTGATGTTAAAAATGGGACACTACAACAAAGCACAAGAGTACTATGAACTATTCTTGAAATCGTTACCTGAAAATCATCCTTCGATTGCAGCAACATACAACAACATGGGATTAGTCCATTATAATCAAGGCAATTATGTTGAAGCATTGAATTATTATAAAAAGACACTTGAAATTCAACTGAAATCGTTAACTGAAAATCATCCAGATATTGCAACAACATACAACAACATGGGTGGTGTGCATGATAATCAAAGCAATTATATTGAAGCATTGAATTATTATAAAAAGACACTTGAAATTCAACTGAAATCGTTACCTGAAAATCATCCAGATATTGCAAGAACATACAACAACATGGGCCATGTGCATGATAATCAAAGCAATTATATTGAAGCATTGAATTATTATAAAAAGACACTTGAAATTCGATTGAAATCACTACCAGAAAATCATCCGGATATTGCACGAACATACAAGAACTTGGGCCATGTACATTCTAATCAAGGCAATTTTGTTGAAGCATTGAATTATTATAAAAACACACTTGAAATTCGATTGAAATCATTACCTGAAAATCATCTTTCGATTGCAAGAACATACAACAACATGGGCAGTGTGCACGATAATCTAGGCAATTATATTGAAGCATTAAATTATTATAAAAAGACACTTGAAATTCGATTGAAATCATTACCTGAAAATCATCCTTCGATTGCAGCAACATACAACAACATGGGATTAGTTCATTATAATCAAGGCAGTTATGCTGACGCATTGAATTATTATAAAAAGACACTTCAAATTCAATTGAAATCGTTACCTGAAAATCATCCAGAGATTGCAACAACATACAACAACATGGGTGGTGTGCACGATAATCAAGGCAATTATGTTGAAGCATTGAATTATTATAAAAAGACACTTGAAATTCAACTGAAATTGTTACCTGAAAATCATGCGTCGATTGCAAGAACATACAACAACATGGGCAGCGTGCATTCTAATCAAGGCAATTATGTTGAAGCATTGAGTTATTATAAAAAGACACTTGAAATTCGATTGAAATCGTTACCTGAAAATCATCTAGATATTGCACGAACATACAAGAACATGGGTGGCGTGCATGATAATCAGGGCAAGTATGTTGAAGCATTGAGTTATTATAAAAAGACACTTGAAATTCGATTGAAATCATTACCTGAAAATCATCCTTCGATTGCAAGAACATACAACAACATGGGTAGTGTGCATGATAATCTAGGCAATTATATTGAAGCATTGAATTATTATAAAAAGACACTTGAAATTCAATTGAAATCGTTACCTGAAAATCATCCAGAGATTGCAACAACATACAACAACATGGGCCATGTGCGTGATAATCAAGGCAATTATACTGAAGCATTGAATTATTTTAAAAAGACACTTGAAATTCGATTGAAATCACTACCTGAAAATCATCTAGATATTGCCAGAACATACAACAACATGGGCCATGTGCATGATAATCTAGGCAATTATGTTGAAGCATTGAATTATTAT